AGGACAAAGGATCAGTCAAAGTTGGGGAGTCTGACAATCTGCAGGTTCCGTACGTCCAACACCTGAAAGGATCCGCAAGCGAAGGATCTTCATGGTTTAGACTGCTCGCTTTACCCCTCATTCGGTGGAATCGCTCGCCATAAAAGAAAGACAGGTGTACTTGCTTGCATGGATTGGCCCAAAAGGGCCTCAGGGAGCCTCCAGCATGGCGAAAAAAGGTAGGCAAACTTTTCTTTGGTTGGTTTTCAAGGAGGTTTACCCCTCCAAATGAATCCTAAAATGGGGTGGTGTTCGTTTGGTGTCCCCTTAACTCAACTCCAAAACCGGGTGTCAACAAAAAACACCCACCCATCCAAAAAAATGGCACGGGTGTGAGGCTTTCTGAAAACCCATTGCTCAGACTCCAACAGGCCGCCGCGTGGGCGGAATGGACTCGGTCATGTGAAGGATGGCCTGGAGCGCGAAATGGGAATGCCCATCGATTCTAGGGGTCTCCCCATAGCTGTTTCAAGGTTTCGGGCTGTTCTTTATAGAAGAATGCCTGGAAAGAATGGGGAAGGTATCCCTAGAATTCTCTCAGTTTGCGCAGAAAAAAGAATCTCATTACTCCAAGAAAAGATGCATGTCATGTTCAAGGTTGGTTGCTTCCCATGCAAACCCTGTAGAGCCAGCCAGAAGCCCACATCCCTAGACCACCAATCCAAAGGGGCACCTGATTTAGGGTGCACCAAGAATCATATGTTCAGATTCTGTTTCGAATCTTGTCAACATAAAATATACCAAACAAGCTGTCAGGGGAGCCCCCGAATATCCTCAGGTTCCCCAAAACCGAGAGACCCAACTCCCCGGCCTTCTCAATCTCTTCCATGCGATCGTGGAAGACGGCCACCTCAAACAGCTGGTAACCGCGAACGCGGTTACCGTGGAGCGCATCCCTTTTTCTTAGGACACAAACATGGGGATACACAAAAAGTAAGACCGACTGTGATTCATAGCCTATCCTGGAAAGAAAAGCCCAACCGGCATCGTTCTTTGTTCTGTTGAAACATTCCTGAGAACTCATACAGTGTCCTAATTATGTTTTTGTTTAAAACTTCTCACTATCATGGGTCTTTCAGGTGGACCATTGTTTGTTCGGAAGTGCTTCAATTCCTGAATGCCTGAACGCCAGTGCGGAATGCCTGGCCTCAGTTAGCACCCTTTAACGTCAGTCTTCCACTCCAACCACGGGCTTCAGAGCCAAACCCGGGCAAGCCATCGAAAGTCTCCCGCTCGTACCCGACGGCTCTGGCAATCGCAAACACCTTTGTTTGGAAATGTGGGCAAGCACCCACTCACCCTACCCCGAATCGGTAATTTGGTTTGGTGGTTTGGACGTTGAGGGCCACTTGCCTGCCCCATTTCGTTTTTGAAGGCACTGGGGTTCAAATCCAAAACCACCAATTGGAGGGAAGCTGACACACGCGCGCCAATCGCCAAAAACAAGTCTACAAAACAACATAGGCACGCCGGTGCCTTCCCGAAAGCCATATACAGTGCACCGAAGCTCATACCAGTCTCACATGTGCCCTGAAGACTGGCCAAGATCTCCTGAACCGGGGGTTTTTCAGAGAACCATGGCAAGGATGCTGCATCTTTTCTTTACGATACGTCCAACACCTGAAATAGTTCTTTATGCTAGTGAGCGCGTTTTCCCCTCGGGTGAGCTCGCCATACATTAGGCAGAAGGATCCTCCGGACCAAGCTGTTCCATGACATACGGAGTTTTCGCCACATATTCTGCCCCGTCGGTATGGACCGTCAAGAAAAAGCCTCTCCGTTACCGGTCACAAAGCTGCCTACCAACCCAAGCAAGACATGCAAGCTCAAGAATACAACAATCCATGGGGTAATACGGTAATACTGCTAAAGTGTGTTTATCAATGTACATCATCCTAAAATACGAATGAATAAAACATGAAATCAAGCTTGCGTGAACTTGCTTTGGGTCAGGCCGGGACCAAAAAAAGCGCTGCATTTCACGCCGATCCGAACCAAACACATCAGCAAATCCGCGGATTTCTTTTTTGGCCCCGCCTCCTCGTCCACAAAGACCATAAAGACCATACAGCAGTTCTCGGCCTCAGCTTGCCAAAAATGGCGCTCGCAAAGGCGCGGCTATCAGTAGGAAATCAACAGGGATTTTAGGAGCGAGCCAATGGGTCCACGCAATGGAGAAAGATGAGGGGATGGTTCATTGGGGTGATTCCCTTAGACTGAGACTCGTTTAAGCCAAGCGAAAATCCAGGTTGTGTTAGCAACTTGTGGACGTCGACTATGTAGGGCCGGTCAAATAAACCATTACTGTGTAAAGTCGATGGAAAACCAAAAAACAAGTCCGTCAGCGCTCAACCAGGACTGGGCTAAGTGCCCAGGAAAAACCCACAAAGCAAATTATCTAAATGAAAACCAACAGCAACACCAAACGTTTGCGGCTGCTTGAGGAAAACGAAAGCAGAGCCAACCCTTTGAGGTTGCTTCAAAGGGAAACCAAAGTAAAGCCAAGTATTGGGGATTGCTTTAAAAAGAAACCAAAAACCCCAAAGGACCCATCTTCCCGGTGTGTTTGTTCTAAAGACTAAAGCTTCAACCGGCACATCCATAGCTCGCTCAACTCGAGTCTACGACCCTCAAAAACCCTGGGGAGAAAAAAAAGAAAGGAAAAACACGGCGAATCTCGAGCATTGGCTGGAGGTTCAACTTTTGTGGGACATCCAAAAAGCTGGGCTCGCAAAGAGCTCACTCCCTTGGAGTCTCCGGAAGAATCCCCGGAAAGGAAAAACAAAACACAAACAAAAACAAAAACAAAACCAAAAAGAGAAAAAACAAAGAGAAAAAAAGAAGGAGAAAAAGAACAAGAAAAAACAACCACGGACCTCCAGCATCACCGGCATTGGGATCTGCACCTTGGGGCGCCGGGCGTCCGAGGCGCTGTTGCAGGCCTTCGTGAGCTTCCTGGCAAAGCTTCGAGAGCTTCGAGCGGAAAAATCCACGGGCTTTCGTGGCTTTGGAGCGGGCTACTCGCCCCCTGCATAGATAGATAGATATACATATATATATATATATATCCATGTATATATATATGTATAGACATATATATGTGTATATGGGATCCCTGGGTTTCTGGAATCAAACCCATCTAAAACCAGAACCCATCTATTTTAACCAAGCTAAGCTAAAAAGGACACCTAAGCCGTGCTCTGCTGAGCTGGCCGCTTTCAGGTCTGCTCAAAGTGACAATTTTTTAGTGGGTGAAAATGGTGAAATACGGAAACCCCACCACTAAACCAACTAAACGCTAAGAAACCAAGGAGCCACCAAGTCCTGTGTCATGTGGGTGTGGCAATAGGTCCTTTTGGCTTTGGAAGTTCCAGCTTCGGCTTCCCTTCAAAACCACCCAAACAACAGAAGTACCCTCCAAGAAGGTGGAAAAACAACATAGGCTGATTCAGAGCCATGGCAAGGGAGCCACTCTTTGTGACCCAGTAGTGACTATTGGGGGGGAGGGAGTCTGTTGATTTTCTTGAAAGGGTTTCACCCCCAAAGCCACACCCAAAAATCATTTTTGCATACCCTTTATCTAGTGACTTGTGTTGTGGATATGAGTCCCGGCTCCCATCTCAGCATGGTGGAAAATGGCACCATGCCTGTGCTAAAAAGCAGTGGAGGTGTTCATGCTGCGACTACATTATCGCTTTGAAGAGAATTCCCATATCGCAGAAGATGGACTTCAGCCAGCTTTCCAGAATCGATTCAGTGGCTGTAGTGGCAGGGCCACGTCCCAGAGCTTTGAGGCAACCCGAAGGTCAAGGGGACCATGACCTGACGCATGCATAGAAGTTGTTCGCGAAAGCCCGGGGAGAAAAACTTAAAACCCGTCGCGGATCCAAGAGGGATCTGTTCGTCTTCAAATGCCAAAGTCCCCTCAAGTGTCCACGCAAATGTCCGCTCAAATTCCGAGCAAGTCCCTCAGTCGTTTCCAAAAAAAACGCTGGCGCGGAGTTCGGCTCTTCCCAACGACTGGGCCCAATGGGAAACCGGGGAGCGTTTCGAAAAATCCAGAGGGAACATGGAAGGCAAGTGGCAAAAGCTGCAACCTTCAACGCGCGGGTACTCAGTGGTGCCTTGCCGGAGCCTGAAAAAAAAGGTTGGATCCTGTTTTAAAGGGGTCTTCCTTCTCATTTCCCTTTAAACCAACCAAAATCATTTGGTTGGAGAAGTGTTCGCCAGCAAGAAGTCGTGATACAAGTGCTCCCGAATCCTGGTTGAGGCTGAGACAGATCGCTCGCCCGCTCTGATGCGTCAAGATGGGACCCGGACCCACTGGGTTGGTTCTTTTCTTGGGTTCTCCTTCTGGTCTTCCTTTTGGTTTCCCCTTTGGTGTGCCTCCTAACTAGTCTGAAGGGGTCTTCCTTTTCATTTCCCCTGTAAACCAACCGAAACCGAATTGCTACCGGGCCTCCAAAAACCAAAAACGCCCCACGCCACGTGCCGATTCCGGGAGCCAACCGAAACCGCGTCGGAGGTGACCCGTAGGGTAGATTCCTGAAGGAGAGTTTGGCCAGCCTCGGAAATTGAAATTCGCGCCGGAGTCGGGAGTTGGTGGGGAGTCGGTTGGGAGGTGCTTCTTTCATATATATGACTCTGGTTCAACAAAAGGACTTTCATATGACCCTGTGCTTTGTTTTGTTTTTCAAAAATAATAACAAACAAGAGCTGGGCTTGCGGGTTTCTAATATGACACTGGTTCAGAAAAATAGAGACCCGGCGCACAGGTTTCGCAAGGTAAGCCAAGCCCCAAGAACTCGTTCCTTCGGGCTGACTCCGGCCCGGAGACCCAGACCTCTCGAAGGCTATACAACATCCAATCGGAGCCTCTGGGTATTGCCATAGTTCTCAGACTTGGGGAGAAGCAACCCCTTCAGTTGTCAAAGTATTTCCCAGCCCGCTGTCAATATGGATGTGTCTGACTTGTTTCACCCAACCGTGGCCTGAAACGGATGGGCTGGAAGTAGCCACAGGGGCCCCTCGTCGCCAAGCTCACTGACCTATCGGAGGCTTCCATATTAATTTGGGGCCACCATCAAAGCTCATCTGGGCAATTTACTATAGTTCACAAACTATTTGTCCTTGAAGGGGCCCAAAAACAAGGAAACCCAAAGGGGGAGCCCAACCATTGCACAGCAGGACACTACGGAATGATTCATTTACAGTTTCTCACTTCCCCTGTTTTCCCCGGGCAGAACTCATTTTCAAAGGAAGCCGCGACCGCATGCTGCTGCTCCATCCGAGCAGTTTGTTTGGGTTTCTTCAGTTGGGATCCTTTGAAAAGATCCCAACAAGAAGTGGAGTATGGCAGTAGTGGGTACACAAGGAATGGGCAGGGCCCATCGAGATTCGTTTAGACCATCGCATCGCTAAACACGGCAAATCTCTGAGTATCAAAAGAAAAGCAACTCTGACCGACATCTTCAAAAGACAAAAACACAATTGGGGGCCTCATACTCAAGGATCCAACCCTCACATGGCACATGGAATAAGCCAAAAAGGGTAGAGTGGTCCAAGGGGCAAACTGTTGATCCCGTCGAAACAACGAGACCCAATGCAAAATAAACCATGCTATTGTTGGTCCTGCGGGCCCAGTTGTGGAGTGAAGCGAATGTACCCTTTTTTTTCCGGAGCTTTCGCAAGCACGCCCACGCCTCAGCTTGCTCACCGATGGCTGCCTGCGCGATTCATGTGGTCTCTGCTGTGTCTCTCACCAGGTAGCCCAAGTCCAAGTCCTTTTCTCGTTTTCCCAATTCTGAGGTCCAATCGGCACAAGCCTAAAAGGTCCCAATGAGCATACTCCCAAGCCATAAGGCTGGTTTTGGGTATGCAGCCCGAATGGCGCATTTATAACCCCTGATTGTGGGGCGTGTCCAGTGGAGGACCTTAGAAACCTGGAACCGATAGAACTTGAAACTGGTCCTATGATGTGTCCGCTTTCGAAACTGTTGACATGGCCCAGAAGGTCACGCTTTAATCACCCCACAGGGAAACTAATGGACCCCTGACGTGTCGCCACATCGCATCGAACGAGGACAAATGTGCGTTTACATCGGAAAAATCAACAAAGTGTCAACCAAACGTTAAAGTCCAAAGATCCGTTACCAAAGCCATAAAGACTTGACACACAAGTTGTTGGACCCAATTCTTTGGGAACACCAGCACGGGTGTTGTTGTGTTCTTTACCTTTTCTGTGGTTGTGATGTTTCATGGTTCGTTCTATTTGGTCCAAATAGCCATGAAGCTTTCTTGGCAAAAGGGTTCCGACCCTAATAATTTTATGCCCAGGCCAGCAGATGTCCCGCCTTCCCATCGCCGCGGGAGTTTCCCGTGGCACTTCCTGGGAGAGTTCTGGAGAGATTGTGGGGGGGGGGGAATCAAGCGCCGGCACAAACCTGGGACCCCAAAATGGTGGGACGTGTCAAAAGCAGATGTGTCAAGGGTGTGGACCCCAACATTATTTGGTTTCTGTTGGTTTCCCTCGAACACCCAGTCCAAAAATGGTAGCCAGCCTCAAAAGAGGCTACGCCCACATGATATATAGGTCAATCCTCAAGTTCAACGGCATGTTCAGGGGGTTTTGGAGGTGGGATGCTGACAAAACCACCAATATGAGCTTGTATGCCCCTTCTACAAATGGTAATCTCCATGCCTACCCGAATATCCTTGAAACAATACACACAGGGATTCCGCTTTACCACCTTTTCTGTCCACATGCCTTGGATTTCCCATCTGTAATGGGGTTTTGTAACACGTGTTGCCCACCAGGCAACCAAAGCGACCCCTCAAACCTCCGCGTGCAAGAAGAAAAAAAAGAACCCCAAAGCTCGGATGCAAGTGCTTGGCTTGGTCAGTTCGTAGGGTTTAGGGTTTGAATTCTAGGAGCTTGCCACAGACTGGAGCCCCAGATCAAGAACTCCTTGAGAAACCCCCACATGTTTCCACCATGGGTCCCAAAAAATAATTGCGGAGGTGTTTTCGTTTGAGGCTACCCTTAGAGTGAAACCCCAAGGAAACCCGAAGTTATTTTGGGGATCTCCCTCTTCGAGCGCGATACGGGGCTCAGGGATGGCAAATGTTCGACAAGTTCCTCCCTTCCGATCGAGTGGCTAAAAGAACTAAAATCGTGTTCTTCCCCAACAGCATGCAGAAAGTCCGAAACGGAACTCAGGCAATAGGGCTCCGAACATTCTCCATCGCTTCAGTACTTTCCGTTGACCAGACGGGGAACAGGGACGCGTCGGCATGGCTGCGACACGCTACGGCATTTCGTATGTTTATACCAGGTCGAACAGTTGCAAAATGTTGCAAAGGGCGAAAGCATGCTCACAGGAAGAGCTTTGAGCTACTGTTTGGTCATGGGCCATGGGTCAAAACCCTGCACCCCCAGTGAACATCCCAATCCCCACTAAAATAGACTAAAATGGGTGGTGCACCTACCCAAAATGGTACCACTGGTTTTGACCCACGGCCATTAAGCTGCTATGTGGCAAAGGGTTCCGGAGGTTGGCTGAAGCCGGCGCCAGGCTTTCACCAAGACGTGCGTGTTCCCCGAGCCAAGTGATGATTTGCCGAGCCGAGAAACACCCGCTGGCAACCTCAAAATTTTGGATACCCTCCCCCAAAAAATAATAAGAAGAAGAATAAAAGAAAAGAAAAACGTTGGGGTCGTGTCCCTCTAGCTTCCCTTTAAACCGCACCCCAAACAGGGTACCCTGAAACCAGACAAACCTGGGCTTAACTTCTGGTTTAAATTGAAACCCAACCCCTAAACCAACTAAAAACCTAAAAAGCTAAGGAACCGAACGGCTGGAAACCACCAAGAAACCCATGTTGGATCTGAAGCGTGTTGTTTTTTGAACCACCAGCTCACAGGCCTAGCCCCAATGCCCCCTCCCAGACCACAAAAAATCAAATACATAGGCCAAACAATGCAACTCCAACAGAATGGAAACAACAAAAAACAAGACAAAACAAAACAAAAAACAAAACAAAAAACACGCTAATTAGCCTGCCATTCCACTCCCTGAGCTGGGTTGGCCCGACGCAAAGGCACACGTGCGGGAGGAAGCTCGCGCTGCTGGAGCGAACTGGGGCTGGGTATGGCGGAAGACTGATGGCACAAAGCCAGAAGGGCAAAGAGGCGTTCTCGAAGTGACCGTCATGGGCGAGGCTGTATCAGGTGAGCTTACTTCTTGAATTCATAAACACCCTTGTTTCTTCAACTGGGAAACGGCTGCATTTGTGTGGACCATGTTTCTCTGACTGGAAAACTCGTATCTGGATATAACAACACCAAAGGACAAACAAATATATGTTCCAGAGGAAAAGCCACTTGTGGCTTGGCTTGGCTGCTTGATTAATCTTTGGCTCGGGTCCCTCCTAAGTCCAATGTCGACAGTGAAAGATCCCTGCTAAAATGGGTGACACCCCCCTACCGGACATTGATCCTGGGTTCCCATTGTGTGATTTCCCGGTACTAACTTTCAAACGGGTCCGTCTGAGGAATGCTTTTGGTCTCCTTCAAAGTTACCACAAGGGTACCAACTCAAAAGGGAAGCACACCCAAATGGCACCCCCCAACTGGGTTGTACTCGTTAGCTCGCAAGTCGGAGTTTGAAGACATTCAACGCTGGGGCTCAATGTTGCCTCTCAACACACTCGACACTCGACACTCGACACTCGACACTCGACACTCGACACTCGACACTCGACACTCGACACTCGACACTCGACACTCGACACTCGACACTCGACACACACACACACACAGAGAGAGTATTATGATATGTCCTGGATGTTTGGCCTTTTCGGGTTTGGACCATTTTAGTGCAAGGTTGTTTGGCTTTGTGCAAATGTCAGGAGATGAAATTGGGTACTTGTATTTTCCTTTTCGGCGCCAGATGAAAAGCCGTGCCAATGCGATCAGTGGAATGGGAGCCCCCTTAAGTGGTTGCCCCCTTCCCGACCTGATCTTTTTTTTGTAGTGGAGCTAGTCACGTTTCCCTCTCAATTTGGGTTGATCTTTGGCTCAGTTATTCTGCATTCTGCCCGACCCCCAACCCCCAACCCCCAAGCCACTTCTCACTGAGAGTTCCCTCGTCACAGAAGATTTTCCCAGAACCATAAAAACAACCCTCGCTTCCGAGCCCAACCAGTCCCGGAGATCTCCGCCAGGGCAGTCACCACATTTATGTCTTTTCAGGGTACCCTTCACCTTAAAGGGCAACCACAAGACACCCACCCATTTTGGTGGGTCCATTTTGAGACGGACCCATTTGGCGAATCGGCAGTTAAGCGTTCCACCGTTCTACCCTTGCGGTTTGCTCGGAGAAAAACAAAATTCAAGTACGCGGGCCTTTTCGGGGTCTCATCAGCGGGAGGGGGGTAGGAGCCGCTTTGATGGATATCATTTCTGTGGAGAGTCCAAAACTCACGGCCTGTCGTCCAACCTCTCTTGCACACGGGCGCTGCTGGGCGTGGTTCTTTTGTTTTAAAAATGAGTATCCATTGTGGTGTTCTTTCCTTTCTGTTTACCCAGGTTGGCCAAGCTGCACAAAACCGGGAAGAGCCGAAAAGAAAAAACACCCACTTCACCGCATCATGTCTCAGAAGAGACCTAAAGGAGACGCAAGTGAACTGGGCGCCCGAGCACACCTTGGAGGAGAGCAGGGAGTCTCGCTCCTTCACCTCGCCGCTCTCCTTGGAGTGGGAGGACTGGGAGCAGGACTCCCTGGCGCGAGAGCGAGAGCGGAAGGTCTCGGGATCAGCACGCCCGGTTTTGGAATGGCACCGAGGGTCCCATCCCGAAAAAAGCAAACGGAAAAGCCACTGGGGGCTTGGGGTGCCCTGCGAAAGACAGGGCTGAGCGGCTGGATGATCTTCTGTCTTTACTATATGCTCATATCTTGTCTTGGCTAGCGTTTACTGGACATGGCTTTTATTCTGAAAGGACCATCTAATAGCGAGACACATGAGGGGGTGTCGTGCGCATATGCCCATCCCTTATCCAACTAGACGTGCCCTGATCCAACTAGATGTCTCCTGATCCAACCCTGATCCAAGTGGATGTCCCCTTTGGGTGGATGATGGCCCAACCTCAAAATAAGACTCGTTGGGGGGAACGAAGGAGGGATATCAGTTGTCTCAGGGTACCCCCCAAAATTGGCCTCGTTCCTTTTAGTTTCCCTTTGAACACCAACCAAACTGGGTCCACCATGTTGAAAAACAACCAAAAGAAAGGATGCAAATCCTTTAAAAGGGGCCTGTATGCCTATGACCGTCACAAAATGCGTGACGCGAATTAAGAAGAAAACACAAGGCCCCAACACCCCCAAATAGCTGGGTTTTAAGGGATGAGCACACAAGCAGGGGACGACCCGGCCTTTGCTGCGTGATTCAGAGGGCGGAGCAGCGGACGAAACGGTTCCAAAATGGAGGTTCCAATCACAGCCAAGAAAGGCTCGGAAGGAGCCCTAGAAGGGGCTCTGATCAAAAGGTTCGCAGAACCTTTCTGGGGGTAGGGATGTCCTCATGTCTGTTTTTGTTGGGGACAAGATTGGCATACCGGCACACCCCCAAACCGCCACAGTTCTTAGCATCACTGGTTTTCCCGAAACATCTTTGTTTAAGCGGACACTTGAAACCCGTGGAAAGAAAGCAGCATTAAGCGCACCCCTGACCTGACACAAGAACCAACGTGCGACCGCTGAACATCACGACTATAAACACCCCCCCTGGCTACAAAAAAACATCACATGAGCTGTTCAAATGCAAGAAAGAAGCTGACCATCTTGAGCCTCCTGTTTCGGAAAAATGCTGAATGGGTTGGCCCCTGACCCCCCAAACACGTGCGACGTGTTTTTGCTGTCTGGTGAATACACGTGCTTTCCAAACGTTTCATGTTCGACGTGGGAATGGCTCTGGAGTTCTCAAAGTTTGTCACATCCCAGGGCCAAGTTTGTTGGGGGGGGTGACATCTAGACAAGATTCACGAAGGCGAGAATCACATCTCCAACAGGGGATGTACAAACAGATCATGCATCACATGTCCTGTTTAGATTTCGGGCAAACCCAAAATGCACGCTTTCATACCTGCCATTGTTTTCTCTTCCTTGGGCATTTGCCTTGGGCAACTTGGGAGATGTAATTTCGGCACTAAGAAATCCCGCGGATCAATTTGGAACTCCCGAAGCCCATCCATGTTGCCAGGAACCTCCTTTGCGATGGGCCCCGCTGAGCTGAGCAATTACCCGAAGCTTCCACCTTCCAGACCCTGTTTTTGGGAACTGCCAACTGGAGGTCCATTGTTGGCAAGCTCAGGTGACATCCGCACACATGCATCCTCGAAACCGCCCCGTGCATTCCTCAGACCCCGTGTCAGAACTGCCTCGTGGAACCCTGAACCTCCTCAGAATCGTCCCGCGCATCCCCAACCCTCGCGAAGGCGGAATGGAACCCTGTCCGGGCTGAGTCCGCATGATGGAGCTCCATTTTTGTTTTCATCCAAATGGTACCAGTCTGAGAACTCCTTTCCCTGAACGGGCCTCACAGGCCCGTATTTCGTTGCAGTAGAGGGAAAACACCCAACCGCTTGCTTTGCTTAGCATATAGCTCAAGGTGGGGCCTCCTGTGTTTCCTCCAAAAAAGTGCGCCAGATGGCGTGAGGCCGTAAACGCTGGCTGTCGTATGGCACCATATCACAACATTGGGCGCTTCACCCTGCATGAAATGTCCAGTCCTTGAGCGCCTGAGCCCCCTTTCCTGACGGACTGGCAATTGTTCGAGCTCAAACGCGGCCCAAGGCCAACCCGTCCACCTGCTGAGGTGGCACATGAAGAAGCAGTGAGTTCATAGCCCCTATAGGCAATATATTCTGGAGCACCCCCGGAGATGAGCCCTGATGGCCACCACGCTCTCAAGCAAAAGCCACACGCAGCTCATCAATGAGCGGGAGAACTGCCCCCTGGCGATCTCAGCCCTTCACCTGATCAAAGCACTACAACATTGAGACGAAGAAGTGGTCGCATAGGCTTCACTCACTCGCGCCCCCATCTGCCACAAACCCAATGATCTTTCATCCGTGTGCAATATCGACCCACGTAGTCGAACTCCAGCACCTTTGCGTTCACCGCGCAAACTGCTACCTGTTTTCAGCGTGCCTCCGGCGAAGTTGCAAAATCAAACAGGGCGCATACCCTTGATGAGGCCCGCTCGCGCCATCTCCCAGCACCCAACATGACCCCTGCAGGATTCTGCATACCTGAAAGACACTGCTCTCCGTCCTGCACGGCCAGCAAGGTGATCATTTCTCTTGTGACCGGTTCCAAGTTCGTCGGAGAAAACTCCACTTTTTCCCGCAACCTGTTTGCGAACGTCAGCGAGCGACATCTCGCCGCGCCTGTCCATATCGCGCAGGGATAAGGCTGCGATGCCTCAGCTGGACTCGCGCGCTGATATTACTCACTGCTCTCGGGAGTTCTCCGCATAGGAAGCAGCCCCAACTCTTGTTTTGTTGGCTTCCTTTTCTCAAACCGCCAGAAAGTACCCGTAAAACACGGCACTATGCGCGCTCGCACTGATCGTCTCCATAAATCTGCGGAGTGCTGAGGCAAAACCCGGGTGGCGGGCCGTTTTCGACCCCAAGCAGAGGAATTCCCTCGTGTCAACTTGCCCGCTGCCAAAAAACAAAATGCCTGGCCAAAACACAGCCGGGTTCCCCGGCGACCAGGTCATGGTCTTCCCCCCCCAAACCAGTGGTGTTGCTTTGGTGTCCCTAAACGCAATTCCCTCCGTTTTCCTGGAAAAGAAGCCTCCAAAAGCAGCGATCGTTCCCAATGGAAGCCACCAATTGAGCAACGTTTGAAGTTGAAGTCCGGTGATCCCTGCCAAAGCACCCCCAAGAAGTCATCAAGAAGTCATGCGCCTCAAAACGAGACCGCCGGTCCTTGATAAAAACGCCGCGTTGTCCCCCCAAGTCAAGGGGCTCTCACAGGCGTTGCGCACCACAACGTCAACCTTCGGACCATTGACCTGGCGAGTCGCCATGGAGGAACCGGGAGGGTACCTGGAAGGGGGGGATATATCTGCATGTCTACTGTAGATATGTATATACATATATATATATACATACATGGAGTAATATCTATACTATCTATACTCCAACTGTGTGTGTGTGTGCTTCTCTAGGTTCAGTAAATATCCACGAAGGACCATCCACTTTGTCCACTTGAGCCACAATCGATAAACCTGGGTAGATGAAGGTTTGATTCTGGCCGTCCAAAGTAAATCGAAGCAGGCCGGTCTCTTAACAATGGCTTCGTTCTGCCCGCTAATACCAGGCTTTGATTCCCATTTCATGCGGATTTTAGTGGTCAGTGGTAGGTTTTGTTCTTCCGCCCCTTGATGGGTCCAATCTGCGAGAGGAATCTCTAAAGTCACAAGAATTGCAACCACACCAACCCAAAGCACTCCAACCCGATTATGTTTCAATTCACCAATCCAGAAAAACAAGTTGCAAATCCCAGATTTCTTGGGTTCTTTGTCATAACGTCTGGCAGCCTACATGTAAAGGACTGGCCCTCCCCTGACACCTGAAACCAGAGCGGTAAAAGGCCCGGCGCTCGCCTCGAACATGAAGCGGAAAGGCACGTCGTTTTCCACCTCCGGCCTCGGGCGATGGAATGTGAGCGGGGAAGCAAAAGGAAGCCATGCGAACCTCCGAAATCGCAGCCTGAAAAAAATCGGACACGGAAATGCAGCCAAGATCCGTTTCCTAGTGTGGATGGTTGCGAAGTCCATTTCGCACCACCGTTCAGAAACCCTCGTTTCTGATGATTCTCCTGTAAATGCCAAGAAAGAATGGCTTCAACCATGGTTTCAAAGTAGTGCGAACGAATTTCGTCCAAAACCACAGAATGGGGCCTTAAAAACATGGTCTGCCCTTGCAAATGCGTAGCTCGTCTTAAGAGGACCCACCAAATTGGCTTCGGTGTTCCTTTTGGTTTCCTTTTAAGCCAACCCAAAAAGGCGGCCCCTCAAAAACGAGACACCGAAAATGGTTGCTTCAGGCCTCACGGACAAGTTGATGCGGCTGCTTGGAGGAAGGAAATCTCGTGTTCCCCAGTCCCCAAACTACCTGCGAAAGAGAAACTGCAAGAGAATCGGCCTTTCCGAAAGAGGAAGATTGCAAGGATAGTCCGGCCGCCGAAATCGCAGGTTTTCGGTACCAAATCACCTGATCAAACGAGGGAAAACCATAACTACTCATGATTACTATCAAGACACCTCTGCAAAAGGTGAATAACTTGTTGTGGGGCCGATGAAAAATCCAGAAAGTTTCAACCAAAAGATACAGTCCAAAGATCCGCTACCAAATAGCCATCAAGTATTCCGCACCAACAGTGAAACCCCCTATGAAAGAAAAACCTTCACGGGCTTTGGGTCGCAGACTCGCAAAGAGGCGAGGCCCCTAATTGACCAAACAGGGTTCGGTCCGAGGGTCGGCCAATCCAAATCTAATAATCTAGAGTGGTTGAAAGCACGAAAAAGAGCGACCCTTGTTCTTTCGCATCCAGAACAAATGAGTGTTTGGGGGAAGCCCCTGTGCAGGAATGCCCCCTTAGGCGGGGGAAGATTGGCATATCTCACGGGTATCCAAGGCAGCTGCAAAACGTCAGGAATTAATTGGCCGAAGAAAGAAATCCAATCACTAAATAGGGATCAAAGCACCCAAATCATCTTCCAAAGGTGGGAGAAGCATGCAATGAATTGCCTGCAAGTGGCAACTTGTTCCAGCCCACACTGGTGGAAAATCAAACTTTCTTACGACATTTGTCACCTTGCGAGGGGTTCCCCTGGTGTCGCAAAGCCCTAGCCCCAACACTAAACAATTTTGCGGGGGTGGGGGGGGGGAAGGGGGGAGAAGCAAAACTTGGGGCTTTCTGCTGCTTTCCCTCCAGCCGCCGTACCCCTAAAACAAAAATGTTGAATACCAAATCAACCCAAACAGCACTCGACCCATGTCTCGACTCGACTCGGGGGCTTGGCACTTGCGACAGGAAGCTCGACGCGCCCTCCTCACAGCTTCGCGAGCTTTCGCACATCGGAAACTTAGCCAATGTCCTGGCCCTTCATTCTTCGAGGGTCACCTTCCCCATTCTTTCCAGGGATCCGAATCTTTTCAGGAAACCATCGAAAACCCCCCAAAGGAAACAGCCGGTGTTTGAAAAGAACGGTAGTTGAAAAGAATGGGACATCAATCCCTAGAATTATTGTTCAACCCTTAAACTTGGCCACTACACGATGGTTTCAAAATATAATGACTATAAGCATATCGTCAACCCATCGATTGGTGCTTGACCTTCGTTATTTAACTTGTTGTCCGGTTCAACAAATGTCAGCGTTCAACCCTTGAACTCAGCCATTCCACGAGGGTTTTTAAGAAATATAATGACTATAAGCATATTGTCAACCCATCGAAACAAGCGTGCAGAATGGCTGCCATACGGCTTTGCCATTGCCCAACCCTCGACCAGGACTACATAAATCGTTCCACCATCATCATTCTAGTCAAGGGCGAAAATATAAGATGATACCAAACGTTGACCCAGCTTTGTCGGTTGCCGTCAATACAGCAAACGACTCTGGCAGTTGCTTGACTTCTGACGGCTTCCTGGTAGTGTCATCGAGTGTCATGCTCTAAAATAACTTCCTTTTTTTCAGCCTTTAGGTCATCCGGTCACCCCGGGCTTGTCGTTTTGGAACCCCAAACTCCAACTCGGATCCTAACAGTCAACACCCCCCATCGGATGCGCAGGGAAAAAGCCGTGGTTTCTTGGCCTTGGGAAGCGGAGGGATCGCCATCCCTTCGCCACGGCACGCTACGCTGCGAGTGTCGCTCGGAGTCCGGCGGCGACTCCCGATCAGCCCACCCTTTAGACCACTTTTCTGGGTGACCCCACCCCTGTCGATAGGACAGGCTACCACACCTGACCCCCGAAACTGAAAACAAAACATGTGGCTGAAGCCAGAAGGTATGGTCTTGAAAGAATATGCTTGGCAGTCCTACTCGAAATTACACTCCCGCAGACTGACATGAAAGCTCTCAGAAGGACTCAAATGGAACCAAGTCTTGGTCCTCTTGTTGTGTTGTGGTGCGTGGGAGATTGACAAACCTGCCGTATTCACAGCATTCCCCAAAGATGAAGGATCCCTCATGAATGGACATCCTATCAAACAGGGACTTGAGCCATATTTGGCATGCCACCCACTTCCACGAAAAGGGCCAGAGTCCAAACTGTGCATCTGCTCAAATGTCCAGGAGCTCAGCCAGGCCGTGAACGAAACTCGGCTCGTGAACCCCAATGAATAAAAAAAATTAAAGGGTTCCAAAGGGGTCCCGGAAGCTCTAGCAGATGCTCCACGTTAGTCTGGAGTGTACTTGCCCCTGCCACACTTTTCTGTTTCCGCCTCAAAGCGCAACGGCCATTTGTGAAATATGACCGTAAATTGCCAACGCTTCGCGAAGAGGACATGGGAGCCCCCTGGGTGTGGTTTGGCAAGTCGATGAGTCCGTGCCCTTCCCAAATAAACCATAGACCGGTATGTTTGACCGAACCTAGGTCCCGTCGCCTCAATTGGAATGCGTAGCCCCGAGCCCAAGTAACCAGGGTGTGTGTGTGTGTGTGTGTGGGTGTGTGTGTGTGTGTCAATATAGGGATTTGGACCCCCAAGCTGTTGTTGTCCTTTGGGTTTTCCCTTTGAATCAGGCCTTAGTTGGTGGTTTGGATTGTTCTTGTAGAGGGTAAACTGGGAAACTACCTTGTACCCAAACCACCAAACCAACCCACCATTTGGAGGGAAGCTGATCAAAGCAACCCGAAAAGGGTACCCTCACAAAACACAAACCTAGACGCGTTGACCACACCAATGAGCCACAAACTACCGGTGACTACCGGTGACTACCGCGCCTGACCAGCGAGGCCCAGCTTCTTCTTGCCACGCCTCTCCTACAAAGAGGCACTGGTTAAGCGGATCCGCGCTGCAGGGAAGGAGTGTGCGGTGGTCGGTGCGTGTCTGTGTGTGTGTGTGTCTGTGTGTCTGTCTGTGTTTGTGCGGTTTGTGTGCGTGTGTGGGTGGCGGTGTGGGTGTGTGGGTCTGTGGGTGTGTGGGCCTGCGGGTGTGTCGGTGTGTGGGTGTGGAGTGCGTGCTTGTGCGCGACCGTGAATGCGTGCGAGTGCGTGCGTCCGTGCGTGTGTGGAATGTGCGTCCGTGAAATGTATGTCTGTGTGTGTGTGTGAAATATGTGAAATATATGTGTGTGTATGGGTGCGTGGGTTCGTGGGTGCGTGGGTGCGTGGGTGCGTGGGTGCAGGGGGGCATGGGGGCGTGGAGGCGTGGGGGGTGCGTGCGTGCGTGCGTGCGTGCGTGCGTGCGTGCGTGCGTGCGTGCGTGCGTGCGTGCGTGTACGTACCTGACATATCAAATGATCACAAAAGTTTCGGGGTACGCATATACTAAGTAGGATAGGAACCATGGAACCAAACGTATGAACAACGGGTACATATGTCCACTCTTAGACAGTAGATAGCTTGGCAGCCCAGTCAAAAACCGAACGCTATCCTGGCAAATTATTGCGCCTGGCTACCAGGAAAACTCAAACATGCTGGATGCTCAGACAAACCTGCATGTAAGCATGCAAGCGAGCGCACAAGCCAGGAAGCGAACGGGCAAATGTGGGCGAGTCTCTTGCTTGCACGCGTGCATGCCGGCACATGCGCATTCGTGTTTGCTTGTTTGTGTGTATCAATGGTTCCGAAGCCTACGCCAAAGCCTTGAAGAACCTGGGCACAAGACGGGGCGAATCTCTAAGAACCAGGTGGATGTGTGTGTCTGTGCGTGCCTTGCCACCTGTCCTGCCGATCTTTGTAGGCCATGATCTTCACCGCCATTTCAGGATCCACAGGAAGCCTGACAAGCTGTGACTCCTGATTCGCCTTCAGAAAACAAACCAACAAGACTCGGGAACCAAAACAAAACGCTGGGCAATTCAAACCCCTGCTAAAACATGGGTGTGGGTCAATATTAAATCACCAGGGTACCGCAGACTTTAGTCCATGTTTCTATTTACCAGGATTGGCCAAAAGGTCCCTTCCGCGAACTTCCGCGGCACATGTGTTCTTCCGCGGGGCATGGTTTACCAGATTTGCTTCCGCGAGTATTGGCGCAGAAAGGAAGGTCATTTTAAGTGAGGTAGTGCTTCGCCGCAGCTTGTGTAGGCTTGGGCTCCATTGGGCTACCCATGCTACGTGGCCACTTGCCTGCAAACACGGGGCCACCCTTCCGCGGAGCTTCCGCGAAGCTTCCGCAAACCTTCCGCGAAATACGCCGGCTATTTTGGTATTCTTGGCTTGCTGTTGGCAACTGCTCTTCGAGCAAGCGTTTCGTTTCTTGTCGCAGCAACACCTTTTCTTCTACTGGAATCGTTTCTCCGAGATTTTCCATGCACGCACTGAAACATTTGATTTCATACAAGCCCCAAAGCTTCTGCAAACCTTCCGCGAACAAATCCCTTCCGCGAAGCCTTCCGCACGCTTCGGCGCGGTGCACATTTTCAATAGTAATGTCCCTCCCCCTACTAAATTAGCTTGCGGCCAAAAAAAACGCCGCTCACCTGACTAAACAACCTTCTTTTGCTTTCCATGTCTGGATTGTGAAACCACATTTGCCCCACCATCGACACACATGCTAGAAAAGGTATTAAGGCGAACAAGCCGTGCGAGGGCCGACTCCACGTGGGTTGAATGTGGATTCCCTTCTCTGGATTTAACTGGAAGACTCTCGTTCAGAGTGCTTACAGTATCCACGCGAACAAACCTCCCAAAAATGGTGGTTGTCTGGGGGAAAGGGTCCTGTTTCAATTGGTCAATTCGTATCTCAAGGAACCGTTGGAGACTCCGCGATCCCTAAGAAACGTCCCAAGTCGACATCTGACTTCTTGCCAACCGTATGAGGAGCCGGCCCCGGCCCCGCAGGAACCTTGGGCCCAAGATGCCAACCACGGCAATGTGTTTGTCGTGTGTACAAAACTACTCCTCTCTCTCTCTCTCACTATGTATATATATATATATACATATTACATACACATATACATGCACATGTGCTTCTCCGGCTTCTCCAAAACATCCAATACGACACTTCGGCGAATCTGGCGACTTCCGCTACGTCACGTTGGCAACACTGGAAATCCAGTGGATACCCTCAGCTCTTGCGGGCAGGGCTACCCTGCCATGGGCGTAGGGAAGTCCTGCGAATTTGAACCCCGAGTGCCTGATTTCCTGGGTTTTTCCAGGTTTCATGAGCCTGCGCCAGATTCCTGGGTGAACAACGGTTTACTGAAAATCACCCAACCGTTTCCTTTCGGGAAACTTGATCAACGTGCCAAATCCTTCACACGCGAAAATTGAACAAACTGTGGGGGTGTCTGGAAACTTCAGGGCAGCCCTGGTTGGTTGGTTTTAAAGGGAAGCAAAAAGAGGCAACCAACCATTTCGAGGGCTTTCCTATTTCAAGACGCATCTCTTTATGCAACCAGCCTTTTGAACCACAACGCAGAGCCCCTTCCGCCCGCTTGCTCTGAACGAAAGGCTCTTGACTCTCCTTTACGTAGCCGAAGTGGTCAGCACGAGCGCTGGAGAAAAACTGTGGTTGTTGACTAAATGCATTTGAGACATGTATGTATCAGTCCGTCATTGCATCTGAGAAAAACAAAAAAGGAAAGAAGAAAAAAATGACAGAAAACAAGATGCATCATAGCTTCTTTATCTGACCTGTTTGCTCTCAAGCAATCTTTAGTCCGAAGTAAGTCTCTGTCTGAGAGCTCCGGTCCATGCGAGCTGAAGACATGACGTATGAAGAGCTGGAGGAGGTGGTTGACGGTTCGTCACGCAGGTCAATCCCACCAATCACCCTGCCAGAAGTTCGAGCTGGCTTTTTGAACCTCTCAATCTTCATCGGCAACGAGCCTCCAGCCCAGATCAAGGTTAGGGGGGGCAATCCCCTTCTGATGGAAAATCCAAAAAAAAACAGTAAATCTCAACATGTTTTCCAACAATCCCGCAGTAAATGCAACCTTGAAATGATATCTTTGCTTGAGGCCCCGCGCTGATGCTGATGCTTTTAGGGCGCTCTTCAAGGTGTCCTCGGGACAAAGCGAGTGGCTCGATCAGGGGACACCCTCTCTCCACCAATCATGGAAGCTAACAGGAGGTTATTGGAGGCAACAATATCCTCTTCAACCCCCCCATCTTCTGTAATTGTTGGAATGGAGGCAACCACGGGCAACCCCGAAAACAGGAAAAGTCCCGCCTTCAACGGATGACGACCCCTCCAGGGCCACCTGAAACCCATTCCCCCAAATCGAGGAGATTCGCGCAAAACAGTCCAAGCTGCGTGGTTATCACTAGAATGGGCGTCCCAGAAGTTTCAATACCAGAAACTCAGGAAGTTGGTTCCCTCTCAAACACGCCCACTGTGGACACTTTGAGGATGGATAGGGTCGGACCCTTCCATCTGCGAATAATTTTGGTGAGTTGGAGCCATTCCAACACACGCCAATTCGAGACACATCCCAATTCGAGACATCAAAACTCCTGTGCGGGTCATGGTCATGTTTCCCTTTCTTTTCCAATGGTTCTCTAAAGCCCCGAGTCGATGTGGTGCCGAACTCGCCACGGGTTGATCGGGAACCTCGAAAGGTGCTGTCCCTTTAGTTTCCATCTAAAAGGAACAGAAAAGGAGCAAAATACACAATGTTCTGTTCTTTTTAGATGGAAACAAATTGATTGCCATGAAACGCAAACATCCCGTATCCCGACGCCTGCAAGCCAAGTCCCCATTTGACCCTCCGTTCCCCGCCTGCGTGGACGATTTCGAACTTGAGGAAGGCGGCCCGGCTCCGGCTAAAGGCAGCGTGGCTGCGGGCGCCGGCGCGCCGTTTTTGGGCGACTCGACCATCGGCGACTTGCTGCCCATGGGCGACTTGCTGCCTAGGCTGGAAGAAAAGAACCCCAGAGAAAAATTAGACATTGTTTGCCTTAGTGGAAAACAAAGGGACCCCCCAAAAAAGCGAAAAAAAAAAGGGAGCTAATTCTGGTGAAGCTGCCCGGGCTCGCCCCGCCCCATCGGCTGGGCGAAGCCCCGCCGAAGCGGCCGGGCGTCGCGTCGCCCGTGGAGGACACGCCGCCCAGAGGCGAGTCGAGGCCCGGCGACCCGGCAGACTGGTCCTGGCGACGCGGAAGAACCGAGCAACGAGCAACGACTTCTGAACGGAAGGCTCTGATATGTCCCAAGTTTTGGGGCATATACGACACTGCACCCCGCTTTCCCATGTGCAGTGTATTCTCCGAGCTACGAGAAGAGCATATCATATCCAACGAAGGACGCAATATCATGCCATCCATAGCAAAAGTGTCAAATGAAATTAGACACAAATAAAACATTGAACAAAATCCTCACATCTGCCTATTTATTGTAATTCAGTTGGTTAGACAAATAACAAACCGAAGAACTGGCCCTCGGACTTCCAAATTGCTCTGCTTGTTCTAATATAATTAGAAAGGATGGACAAACTAGCGTAAACACTTGTGTCAAATGCGCGTGCAGACTCTTCCCTGTTATTGGGCGTGGGGTTAAAGGTTGCCCTGATTTGGCGGTGGTTGCAGTCCGGCGTGTGTCTTTGTTCTGGGTTCCCCTTTTTGCACCAGGCTTCAAGCCTGCGAACGCGTCATGGGTGGTCAGCGGCTCGTCAACGGGGGATTTGAACAAGGCTTATTAACCTCCCAACCATCTGCTTCGGGGTTTGTAGGGTTCCTATTTTGGAAACCAACACAACTCACGTCGGGACAGTCACTTTGCCCAAGTCAGGGACGGTGTCGGGAGGAGTCACGTACTTTGGTGAGCCTGACTGACATAACTCTCCTTCAGCTTTCTGCCCGACCCATCATTTCTCTGTCGCTTCGGCGCAGGCAAAATGGGAAAAACGAGTTTTGAGCATGGCGCAAAGTGTTACCCAGGCAACTCGCCTGCGCGAGTTGGGTTGCATGAGTGCCAAAAGGTACGCCCCACGAGCGCAGTGAGGTGCGTCCCCCTCTTAGTCTTCTCTGGTATGATAAGTAGCATGGGAAAACTTCATGTTCAAACCCTTTGCGCCTTGGTGCTGTGTGGCTCTTTTATTATGCAGTGCGCTCTGATAGTGGTCCGGAGTGGTGTGGTGTGAAGCGGTGCGGTGCGCTGTGAAGCGGTGCTTTGTGATATCATGGTACAAATGGGCTCAGGTCTTCTTGGTATGGCAGGGAAGCAAGCCTCGTCACTTATGATAGTATTGATCTTCTTTGCCACTAACTCCTTTTGGGCGGTACACAAAGAAATAATTGTCAATCCCTCTTTCCCCGTGTCTAATGTGTACAGTAAGGTAGTTAGTGTCATCCTTTCTGCCCCTGGCATGTTGTACCGGTACAGTGGTGCGGTGTAAAAAAAGTTCGGTGTGGTGCGATGGCATAGTATATGATCTACCCTTTCGCACATACACACACACACATACATCCAACCTTGCTTGTCTGCCCCATGACCATCCCCCAAGCCGGACCTGTCTGGGGGGCGATGAAGACTCTGCCTGGAAGAAAAGGTGCGGGCATGGGCACCCTCTTTTGGCTTCCCTCAAACTGGGCGCACTGTTTTGTCCCCCTAGGAACAGACAAGCCGATTCGCCCCTCAATATTGGTGTCTGGATTCATTCAACCGATTATAGGCTTGGGCAAACTGAGAATGGTGGGAAAGCATGGGCTAAGACATTTGAAAGTACAAACAAGAATATGTTGGACGCATCAGTTCGAGACATCCGTCGAAAAGCTGATCGCATTCAAGTTGTTTCAGCCCTGGCGATCCAACTCGACATGTTGCTCAACTCAAAGGGCCCAAACCTCGTGTCCTCGATGCAGTTCTCTCTGATTTACGGCTGCAAAAGTCCGAGATTTCTTTGGGGTGATGTCTTAAGAAAGCACGAAGAGAAATCAAAGGTAGCGCGAGCGGAAAATCCGTGCTTTCCTCAGCTGTCCGCCCAAAAACCCAACGTCGCGTCCGTGGCCGCAAAAGTTTGGGATTGGGCAGGAAACAAAACCCCATGAGGCCCCCTTCAAGGGGGCAATTCACTGAGTCGAAACGAGCACCCCAATGGGAAGTGATAGGTCTGGTCGAAGCAATTGCCAACGTCTCGCTCCCATCGTCCGAAGAGAAGATGTGGAACTACCTGGAGCTCATCCAAGCCCCATGGATTCCACCCGGACTTGGACAGGCTGCTAGCTCACTTCTCCCTCGCGGCCCGAAGGGGCAGACAATCTCGCTCGGCGACATCCGACTTCCCCCGATGCCAGCAGGGGTGTACTGAGACAATGCGGAAAAAACTGGACCAAGGAAGTCCCTCTGAAAACCCACCGGGTTGTAGAGAACCCCGCGCATTCGCATGGCATCAAGCGACAGACCAACGCCTTTCCCCAAATCCCCCCGCGCGATCCAGCCTCTGGCCCTAACTCCAACTTCTGGGTCGAAAACTGAGTTGCGAAACATTCTGTGACTCCTAAGTTAGGTGCCGAACCCGGTTCCACCTATGGCCCCTATGGCCCTTGTACCCCACGACTCCGACTTCCCCGAGTCCACGAGGCCCATTCCGACTGAGGCCAGCGCTCGCTGAGGCGACCTCATGGCTGCTCTCGACTCCTTTAGCCGTACACAAATCCCTCCACATACGTGTGTATACATATAATATGGCTGTGGCTCAAAAGAAGAAGAAGAAACAAATGGAACCCTGGGAAGTGGAAACATGGAGCAAGACCTGCGTAACCCCTCATGTTTAATTTTGACCCACAGCTATGTATATATATATATATATAGATATACTGTATATATATATATATGTGTTTTAACATCACCTTTTTGTGCAGCTTTTGGATGAGTACCCTGCCTTATGGTTGCTTTTATTTCTGCTCAAAGCATCACAAAGGAAACTCTGCAAACAAATGGGCTCTTTAAAGGTGATCTGTAAAACCGAAATGGCAAATATGGGGACCCCTGCCCCTTTGGTCGTCCAAGTTCCCTGTCCCTTATGGTCCATGCCCATCCCTGCACCCGCTGAGTGCTGCGTTTATCTCTCCTCAAGAGCCACGTTTTCGGTTGGAGAAGAAATCCCAGCCGGTTTAGTGCTTGGGTCCCGAGCAACTGGGACTTGCAGCAATTGGTTTGTGTGTCGAAACAAGGGGATGCCGACAAAATGGCGGGGGTCCCTTTGGGAAAAACCAAGGAACAAAGGGGACCCTCAAAACCCTCCCACCAAGCTGGACCGATGTTCTACCCTGGAGGCTTGTTCAAGGCAACCTCGAAAAGAACCCCCCCCCGAAAAGAAAATTGGTGGAAGCTGTAGGAAACAGACCCCGAAGTTGTGCCTGTCGCATCCCGCGACCAACGTCCAAAAAGAAAACCACGGGGTCCTCTAAATTTGCCAACCTCTGCGAATGTCTCGCAACAGTTCGAGATAAAAACGCGGGGGAGTCTGGCCAGACTCCCCAGGAACTTGCGAGACCCGAGCCCGCGTGGCGGCGGCGGCGGCACGGGCCGGCCCTGGCCGAAGTGAGCCGAAAAGGGACATCTACGGAACATGTTGAGAAACCTACGCCGAAAATACGCAGGTCAACCAAAAGTTGACTGGTTGAAAGGGAAAATGCCGGGAAAGCAAAGAGAAAGAAAGGTTAGTCTGGCAATGGTGATGGAATAGCCACTTGGATGACCACCAGTAGTGCCATCTTACATCTGAGGTTATTTTTAAAGAAAATGATGAGACCCCCATCTCTCCCGAAGGGGCCAAAACGCAAACCGTAAACCAAGCACTCTGGCCACAGTTGAGACCCCTATTTTGACACACACCCAACCACCTATAACAATCGAACCAAGCGAGAGAAGCCCAACCACGGTGCTTGAAATGTCGAACTTCGAAGCCCCCAATGGTCTGCTTCTCAGAGCCCCAAGCTCATCCTCGAAGGGGAGGTCCCCATGAGACTTTGGCATTCAGGCATGGCTTGCCTTAGAGGGCCTAGCCAAAGGGGCATCGAAGCTCTGCGCAAACCCCGACACGACTCGGCGTTTTTCGTGCACGGCATTCCCTTTGTCAGGTTGCCCCGGAAGCGGGGAAAAGGCAAACCACACCCCTACCCCCAACCGACCAATTCAAACCACTAGTTGTAGGGAAGCTGGTAGGCAGAACGCTTCACACCGAAGCGACGTACGCGACGCTTGCCTCGGCATTGCGGTCGGTGGGCTGCCTGGAACGCAGAAACAGGCCATGTCCAAGGGAATGTTGACGCACTGAAACGAAACTCACTTCGAAAGCGGCCAAGAAATGTCTAACCGACGACAGACACTTTGGGGCTGTGATCGGAATCGTGATTTTGATTCGTGATCGGGACTACGATGACCTAAAACAAGAAAAACGATCAGGGGTTGCGGCCATGGGCACCCTTGTGAGGTGTTTTAGGGATACCAAAGGGAAACCCACCTTCAGCTGCTGGGTCGGGACCCAAACAAAGAGCCCCACCAGGCGTCCGCGCTGCAAGGACTCCGGGGCCTTGCGCGCCGGTCCTCGCATTCGTGCACTCCGGGGAGGGGCCGGTTCTGCGCGAAAGGCTGGGCTGTGGGTCAAATGGAAATTCCACTGAGCCCCGAAAAGCTACGCAGGAATTCTTCGGAAGTATAGCTTCCCTTTGTGCGAGAAGAGCACTGAAACGGGTCGCTCTTCAGCAACTATGCTAGCTGAAGCATCTCGGAACGGCTCCAGGCCAAACTCGGGCTCCCAAGCCGGCCTTTGCGTTATCGCCAGATTTCTGCGACCAGAAAAATGTCAAACCAAGGCCAATGTTGCTCGTACCTGGTGCGGTTTAGACTGAGACCCTCCCCACCCGGCCCGTCCTCCGCGCCCGCTGCCGGGGTCACTGGGCCCGCCAGCGCCTGAAGCGCCTGACGCGCCTGAAGCGCCTGAAGCGCTGGCACGCGGGACCTGAAGCGACGGCGAAGCACGAGACGCCTACTGGCCGTGCCTTTTGCGAGGTTGGACACGCGAAACTGGCGCAACGGCTCTCCTGTTAGCTTTCCTTCAAACCCAAAAAACAAAACAACGACAGCAAACAGTCACCCTCCGCAAAAGACTCACCCAGAATTGGAACGGGGTTGTAAAGTACCGCAGAAGCCTAAGAAGAGAATAGCTTGCCTTCAAAAAAAAGATCGCCCCAAGCTTCGTTCGGCCACCAAAAAATCGGTGGATCTTCATGTCAGTTTGCCTTGGCTTGCCAAAGACGGCCACACCACTGGCGCCAAGGGGGCGCCAAACGCCTAAGCCGCTGGCAGGGTCCTCTGCGCCAAGGACCACCTGGCGAGGTCTCTTCGGGGAAGTCCGGATGTAGGGGGCGGAGAAAGATCTGTGCTGGTGCCTTGACACTTGGGAGAAGCCCTGTCCCAAGCGTTGACCAGTTCAGGTTCCAAACTTAACGGATCCCAGGCGCTCCTAAAACAAAAGCTGAGTCCCCCTCTCCCCGCCGCTGGGGGAGGCACCAAAAATTGTGGTTTTCCTTTTGGTGTCTCTTTCAACCAAGGTGAAGAGGGCATTCTTAAACAACGCACACCCTGGTTGGTTACTGGGTGGCTGATGTTGTGAAGGAGATCCTTCACTTTTGGGACCCCTCCAACCAGTGATCATCAATATGGATCAACCATAAATTTATTAGGGACACCGAACGTGTTGGCATCATATTGGGCAATGGGGAAAAAGACCTGGCTTGGCTTCTTGCCCAAGGCACTCAAATGATCTTATAAACAATGAAGATGTTTTTCATGGTAGGTCTAGAATAATCCAAGCCAAGGTGCCCCTCACGGGAATGATCATACGAAGCCTATCAAATGGTGGATGTCTGCCCTCTGCGGACGAACACCCAGCGCTGTTCCTAACTGCTCATACGTGCCGCGTGGGTCATCATGGGTCCCTTAAAAGGCACCCTTAGCATTGAGTGTATTCAGGCTCCCGACCATGGCACATACTAGGCAGCAACAGTTGCAGATCGATCCTTGACCGTCTGCCAGGCTCTTACCCCCCAGGCCTCCCTTTCCAACAACACCAACAGGGTTACCCCTACTAGGGGAAACTCACCAAGACACCAAGGTGATGTTTTTAGAACTACCAAGGGAAGTTTAGAGACCCCTGTTTCAATCAAAGGGCTGTTTCCCAAGAATCCCAAGCAAAGGGGGGCGGGGAACCCAATTTCACACCTTCGTCTGTCTCGATTTCAAACTTCCGCCGGGGCGTACGAGGCACTCCTTACCTCAAGCGCGACACCCAGTAACCCGGTGCCTTGCCTCTGTTTGGGGGTGGGGGGGTACACTTCTAGAAAACGGTTTGGGTTTGTGGCGAATCCGTGGATCCACCCCTGTAGAATATTCAAAGAGTGTTTAAAGATTACGAAACAGACCAACAGGGGGAAGAACAGCTGTTGCAAGGGCCTAATGTTGACCCTGGATCTAAGTTGAACCCTTGGTAGATGTTTTTTGCCGGGGGTGTCCCCTTGGGATTCAGACCACTTTTGGAGGGAACACCCCGTATTGATAGGATGGGTTTATTAATCCGGCATTAATCCGGGGTCAACAATACATGATTCGAATGCTGTGGGTGCTTTGAAACCAATGCCATGTTCATTGCATCCTTTGCAGGTTGGTTTCGCAAGGAAAAGTGCGCTTCACAGGGAAAGGAACGCAACCATTTTGGAGGTACTCCTAGTTTGACGCATGCTCGGATTGGGTAAAACTGCTGGGATCTGGGGGTCAAAGCCAACCTGTCGGAAGACATGAACATCTCAACTGAGGACTCTAAAGCGCTCATTGGAGAACCTACGTCTACATGGGTAGGTGTCAAAATAGGGATGCGGACTCCCAAAAACACACACACACACACACAAACAGGTAGAGGCACAGACACAGACACAGGCTCAGGCACAGGCACAGGCACACGCGCAGGCGCAGCCAAGTTGGATAAAAAGGCCCCTAAGAAGCAGGCAAATCGTATGTTCTTCGTCATGTTGGTGTAGCATAGCTGTCGTTGGTCTCACTTTGGTTCTAATCATTTACCACTGCCATGAATTTGTCCAAGAGGGCATCTTAGGAGGCGGATGCGGTTGGCACGGGCACGGAACCCTTCACATTTGTCCCAACTTGATCTTAAGGATGGTTTTGTTCCGGGGCGCAAGTAGGCACTTCCCCTAGACCAGAGGGCCCCCTGCCAAGAATGTCCAGTGGTTGCTTGTGAAACCACAAGGCAAAACAAACAACATATTCATTCAAATCTACAAATATTTATTCAAATTGCGGCTTCCTGGAACATGTGCAACATGCTGGTGCGAGAGGACTCTCATCCAAGCCAAAGTTTCCTCAGTCGGAGGGCTCCCTTGTTTACAATGGTTGTGATGTGACGCCGCCCGGATTATTCAACGTCCCTCTTGGGCGCGACCCCCCCACCGAGCAAATTCAAGCAGGTTGGCCCAAGGGGGTTGGAAACGGCTCGGTCAAAGAGTCCAACGGACACAAGTGGTCCAAGAAAATCAATTTATGTTTTCCGGCCCGAAGTCTCGTCCGAAAATTCTAGCAGCATCCCATGGGGCGATGCCTTCCTGGACCTTCAAAGCAACCAGACGATGGCACAGTATCAACTCCCAAAGAAAGCCAAAGCCCTCGTAGGGGAAAACAACTAACACCTGACATTAAAAGAGTCTACTAGACGTCTCCCCGGACGTCTTTATTCGGACAGAAGTCCCCGAGTGCGCTTCACCTACAGCACCTTCGGGGCAACGTTTGGTACACCTTCTCCAAAATGGTGATCTTCGCTCCCCTCCCGAAGAACTGGTTGATCAAAAGGTCCTTTACATGGGATGACCATTGGGGAAAACCACTAGAATATATTATATTTCTCACTGAATGGGACAAGTTCCCCATCGTCATTTGGGGGCCAGGAATATCCAACCTCTAAAGAAGGCGCACACACTTAAACTCCAGATGGAGGGTGCTAATCTTTCGAGTACAACTGGCAAGTTTCGGCTTGGATAAGGTTCTTCATGCATAAGTTTCGGCTCGCAATGCACTCGGCTTCCCTCTAGCAGCGAACACGTTACCCGAAAGAACAAGAAGCACAAACAGCGCCGCAACCAAGGGGGCCAAAAGGACTTTCAGAATCACTGAAGCAGGTACAAGATGCTGCGTCCAGCCCCGATTTCCGTAGCTTCGTTGGCACGGCTTGGAAATCAGGCGCCGTGCCCCCTGCAACTGTCTGGTGGCAGGGTAATCTGCCACTCCGCACACACGCGCCCCTCAGTGAGGGCGAAAATCTTTTGTTCCTGTCGGAAGATCACGCAATCGGCTCATCAATGCTAACGTCTACCAAAATATCCCCAGCGGCGAGGAGAGCGCGAAGCTGCGCGAAGCCGCTCAGAAGACGGGGACGAAAGATCTCCACGATGAGCATGACGGGTGCCACCATAGAAGACCGGAGGAAGGTGCAAATCAGTCGGGCGATCACCGTCAGAAATAGGTGGGGCATAGGTGAACATCTCCTCGACCCGGATGAAGTCCGAATTCTGCACGTCAACAAGTGATTGATCCTGAGCTTGATGAGTGGAGAAGGACTCAAAGCGAGAAAGAATGCGTTGGTAACCTTGATGTTGCCAGTCGCGAATTGTCCATGCCTGACTGGGCTCACCAGTCCCATCAATTGGATCAGTTACCCGCTTCCACTCCCGAAACGAGTTGTCTGGTAGGTCAGGTACTGCTTCTTCTGGGTGCCACAGCTGAGGTGGTCCTGGAGTATAGATCCGCACCCACTCCTGACCCTGCCAGACTGAATATTCGAGCCATGGGTGCTGCTCATCGGTTCGGCCCAACGGCTGAGTTGCATCCTCGATGTCCATGCCGAAGTGAAAGACAGGGCGTACCGCAGGTTCCGATCCAGCTAGCAAAGAAACAGTCACCATGCACAACCATGCACAACCAGACAATACACAAGAAAGCAAGAGCAAGAGAAAGCACCCTTTTGTACCATGATCAAGACGCATCAATTCTGTGTTCCATTGGTTGGGGGGTTTGGTGGGTATCTAGGGTTTTGCCTTTGGCCTGGCCGAAAGAAAGGCCCTGAATTGATCCACATGTTGCGGCAATAGTCAGGGGCCTTTCTCGCGCGCCTTTTCTTTTTAGCGGGCCTGGGCTTGCCCGCTTTTCAAAACGAATGCCCCATGCGTGTGAGAGGCTGCAGCCGAGGGATGTCAAGGACTGCTTTTGGCAACTTGAGGCCTCTGATCATGTCCTTGGTGGCCGCTCCTGCCCTACCCTGTGGGCTAGCACATGGAGACTCCCCAACGAGTGGAAAGCAAGGCCGACTTTTTTTGATGTTCAAGAGCCAACGGCTATGATGCTTTGAGCCAGGCTTTTGGGTCTTCAATCTGCAAGGCCATGGAGCACAGGCAATGTAAAACGTCCCAGATGGTTGTGGCGCAAGCAGGTGCAGCATTGCCCGTCGCCCTTCAGGTTTTGTGGATCAAAACAATAGTTTCCTTTGGCAGCCTTACTATGAACATCGAGGTTGGAACCATTCCTGTGTAACAGCAAGTTGCGCCACTCGCTGCAGACTAGCCGTTCTTGCTCAGCCAAATGAAGCACGCTTGGGTCGCATGTTTGTGGGAAATGTGCATGCAGGCACCCAAGCTTCGCCGATCAGAAGCCCGTTTGCACCATGGGCTACCCTAAAAACTGCATCTCCAAACTAAGCCCTTCCTGCTAAGAACGTTTGGCTGGAGCAGTCGCCACTGCTTCTTGGCACACAAAAGGAATAGTTTTGCTTGGAATCATTGAACCAACGGGCTGTGAGCCTGGTAAAGGCCAAAGTGTGTCATGAAGGATGTGCAAAATCCTGGACAGCGCCAGGGTGGCCATGTCGGCCTGCCACTCAATTTCATGATTTCATAACACCACGAGACACCCCGTCGCATCACAGCGCAGCACATCCAGGCTGATCAAACATCCAAGCTTTTCGAAAACTGCCTCCTCGCCAATGGACAAGTTGTTTTTGTTAAATTGCCTGTGCTATGCACTTTGTGTTTTGCCGCCCTCCCACCAACAGGCAGAAACAATTTTCGTGACATTCAAAAATTGGAGCCTTGCAAATGGACGGTGTTGGACCGGGTTTTGGAGCCCTCACTTTGCCTGTGATGTGTAGTATGCGGTGTGATGTGATGCGGTGTGATGTGTAGTATGTGCTGTGATGTGATGTGATGCGGTGCGGTACAATTTAATTGGTGTGATGTGAGGGGGTGTGGGTGTGATGCGGTGTGATGTGATGCGGTGTGATGCGATGCTATAATGTTCTGCAATGTGATATGTTGCCGCGACGTGATGAGCTGTGGTGTGATGTGATGTGGTGTGTCAAGATGTGGTACGCTGTAACGTGATGTGGTGTGGTGTGGTGTGATGCGATGTGTTGATGTGATGCATTGCGTCGCGATGCGCTTTGCCTGGAAAAAAAGGCACCACAAACAAAAGGACTTCACTTCGCCAATGAGCTGTTTGCTGCCTAGCTGCGTTTGGACCAAGCAAAATCAAATCTTAGCGCATCCTGATCAAATCTGACCAAAGCCGTGTCTTGATCAGATTTGATTAGGCTTCATGTTCTTTGGTTTGGGGTTGGGACCTAGCAAAACCAAATCAGATCAAATCTGACCAGGCCGATCAAATCTGATCAGACCTGATCAAACCTGATCAGATCTGACCAGCACTGTGTTTTGATCAAGCTTGATTTTGCTTAGTTTGGGCCTAGGGAGACAGCAAGCAGATTATTTTACCAAGGGGCTTGCTGCTGTTGGGCCTTGAGTTCTGAAGATGGAACTATTCGAGTTTTTCGAGTTGACAGGGTCCAGTGATGAGTTTTGCTGAGCTTGGGAATGTTCATGTATAGGGTCTTCCCCTACCAGGAGGTACAAACAGATGTGTGTGTGTGCGTTTGTGCCGTGACGCGCTGTAAAGTTGTGATGTGGCGTGTTGCGCTGCGCTGTGATGTGGCGCGGTGTGGTTTCATTTGCCGTGATGCGGTGCGGTGCGTAATGTGATTTCATGTGATGTAGTGTGACGTGTTGCGACGGCGATGCGACGTGCTTGATGTGATATGATGTGATATGATGTGATAAGATGTTGTCATGTGATGTGGTGATGTATTGTGTTGTGATGCGCTGTGCTGTGATGGTTGCGGCGTCATATGTTGTGTTGCGATTTTGTGTGGTGTGGCTTGCTGTGA